TCCGCCGCGCCCTCAAGACATGGCTTTTTCAGCAAGCGGGCCTGGCCTAGGGAGGATTTTAAATCGGGTTCTTAAGAGTAATTTTAAATAGCACAACTTTAAATATTCGGTTTTAATTGGTTTTACTTGGGTGGGGTTGTAAATGTGTTTATGTTTTTTAATATGTTGTGAGCCGCCCTGAGTCCCGTTGGGAGAAGGGTGGGATATAAATCAAATAAAATAAAATAAAAAATAAAATAAATATGAAATCAAGTGAAATATTTTAGGATCCAATCTGGGTCTGTCACCCTGGACCAGAGGTTTTGTCTTTTTAGCTTTTGGACTCATGCTGGAGCCCATCTTCAGGGAACCTCTCTCTAGCAAAGTGTGTGCTTTGGGCTCTTCCGTGTATAGTATTTATATGGTTTATAAGGACAGAAGGGAAGGAAAATAAACATCAGATTGCAAGAACACAAGTGAGTGGTCAGACAAGGAGTCCTGAACTCATTGGTGGCCTCACACTGCAACGAACAAGGACAAACATTCAATTTTGCAGCTACTAAGATTGTTGGATGAGCAGGGACAAAAACAGCCAGGGAAGTGATTGAAACCTGGGAAACAGGCCCCTCATCAGTCAACAGGAATGCTGATTTACCACCAGCTTATCAAGTACTTAGGAGGTGAGGGCTGGGCAGCACAAGCAAATAACAGTCAGACTTAATAGTCAGCCATCAGGACCCCAATCAACATCTACCACACACAGAATAGCCCAAAGAACACACACTGCTAGAGAGAAGTTCCTTGAAGATGAGCTCCAGCACAAGTCTGAATCCTCAGAAGACAAAATCTCTGATCCCGGTGACCGACCCAGATTGGATCCTGCAACATTATCCTGGGACACGTATATTTGCCTTCATTCATGAAATATTTTAAGCCAAGCACAATGTCAGTCACTTTTGATCTTTATATTAAGATTTTTTTTAATCTTTAACAAGCCATATATGAGATAGGGAAGATGCTGAATACAGTACAAATACAGTATAAACATATTTTAGCCATGGAGAGTTAGGTTCTTCTCCCTGAGCAGAATTTAGCAATTGGTTCTGTTAGTTGCTTCTAGGCACAAAAAACTATCAGCAACCTTACTGGGCAAGTCAACTATACAGTAATTTAAGGCAGTAAAATTGTTTCCAAATTATTGGGTGCAAAATTAGATGAACGTTAAATCTTAAGCTCTCTTTTTCCCCTTGCTCTCCTACTTCATTTTCTCTAGATTTTCTATGGAAATTCAGACAGATCATCATCCGTGCAGAACCTCTTGCGCCCACCCATTGTTTCTCGTTATATAAAGTTGATACCCCTTGGCTGGCATGTGCGCATTGCTATCAGGATGGAGCTGCTGGAGTGCGTGAATAAATGTATTTAAACTTCGGTGTCATCTGGGAAGAGACAGGTGTTTTATTTAGAAAGATATAACAGTATAATTAATATGAGAAATAAATTCACTGACTATGAGTTCAGTGTCTATTAAAATTATACATCTTATCCAGTACCTCCTGTGACTTATATTCTCTGCAGCTTCAAGAAGTTAATAGAATTCTGTATATTAATAAAATAAATCAAGATGGAATAAATTGAACCTGTATTACATTTTTGAATCCAGGGTCTTACACCTCAGTAAAAGGAAAGTCAAAACTTTCAGTGCACATAAAAATGGCTTCTACAAAAAGAAATATAGATTTCTTACAAGTTAACCAAAGATGGCAGCAATGCTTTTGTAAGTTCTGGTAGACATTATACAATATACGTTCTTCAGAGCTTTAGTGCGCATTCTCTGAAGATATTTCCCATTATAATAGAGGAACAAAAATAAGACTGACCAATGTAGATCATCATTTCACTCTTATGTGAGAAACTGTGTCAGCAGTTTATTGCCATACTATACTGCCAGTAGTCTTTATTTAGTGATCACAACTGGGACTGGCAACTCAGTCATTATTCAAAACAGTAATTAAGTGAAACCAAGACTGCTGTTATGATTTTGCTTCAGTTTTTCTTTGCTTTACAGACCTGCAAAGGTTGTAAACATGAGGTTTGGTCATAAAGTTACCTTTTTATCATCTTTCAAACTGTGAATGGTTGGTAAATGAGGTACTCACTGTATGAGGACTAGCTGTGTAGCTTTTCATAACCTGGGAATATTTAAATATGTGCATTTTACAAATTCCAATGTTTTCATCTTATATGGCCACTTGTTGTCCAAGGAGGAACGCTTCCCAGAAATTCTTACAGCAAAGAAATATACTGTTTGGAGAGTCTTATTTATATGATTGGATAAACCAACCAAGGGAAGACCTTCACTTGTGCTAACCTTTCCTTAAAGATTGCATTTTCCTTCTCTGAACATTTTTTTTACCAAAATAATCTGTTGAAACCAATTCTCAGTTTAAGAGAAACGCCTATAAATACACATACATGCATGCACACACATGCACATGCAATGCACACATACGCAGAGAAACACACATGCAAAGAAACACACACACAAACACAAATGGGAATTCCCTTCTGTATCTTTTCCAATAATGAAAGGAATACTATAGAATATGAACCTAGGCATCCTTCAATTCTATATTGTATATTCATTTAAGTTCAATCAGATTATAGAAAAACATTACTTACAATTTATTATTGGTATTTTAATCTTTATACTCTGTCACACTTCCTTTCAGATTTCTGTTAATTTAAATATGACTAGAATGTCCTAGATTTCATAAAATATTGGTAGAAGTATGGTATTCTTCTAGTAGTAAATGAATATTCTGGCTGCTAATAATGAATTAGATATGTCAGTATCATATGAATCACCATGTCATGTAGCTAATGTCAATAATACTATAATTTTCTTTTAATTTTCTTTAGTTTTTTAGACATTCCAATTTACAAGTCTAAAATTATGCATCTAGATTTGTGTTTATGTAGCAAATTCAGTGAGTGACATTGTAAGCATATAGAATGATTATCCTACAGGAGTTTGATGAAATAAATGTTATATAGATGTACAGAGGTATTTAATGATTATTAATAATTATTAGTCATAATTACTGAACTTTTAAATGTAAGATCATTCAATTTAAAATTACTGGTTAATAAAGACAAAGTTAAATTTACTGAACTGATGTTTTTTTATGTTGGATTATCCATGAATTTACAGTGAATTTACTTTTTTTTATAATTCACTATGGAAGCAATCTAGATTTTAAAAAAGTAATTCTAATATTCTAATTCTTCTCACTACAGTTTTTATTAAATAGGTATATTTTTCAAATAGGTATACTTTAAATAAACAATCATGTCTCCATTTTTAACACCATAATTATCAGTTAGGATTTTATTTATAGACCAGATCACTGAATTTATCCTCATTTTGAACCTACAGGTGTATAAGCCTTTGTTATTCAGCTGAGTTCCATGTCCATATTGATAATATAGAAGGATACAATGAGGACTGCCCTGACCATTCATTGTGACTGAATACAAATCTTAACACCCTTCCTTAATTATGTTAACTGAACACAAATGATTTCTTGCAGCAGATGTTTATGGTTCAGTAGGGTTTCAACAAACCAATTTTCTAGAATATAGGTAATCCTCAATTTACAATAGCAATAGCACTTAGAATTATGTATAGCTTCATAGTGCTTTTCAGCCCACTCTAAGCAGTTTGCAGAGTCAGCATATTGCCCCCAACAAACTGGGTCCTCATTTTACCGACCTCGGAAGGATGGAAGGCTGAGTTACCTCAACTAAATGAAAATTCAAATCAATGGCAAATGAGACCAGAATTTCTGTTGCTCAGTGATACAGTTATAAGGTAAGAGTGTGCAAGAAGCGCCAGTTGGGAAGGGAATTCCAAAGACTGATCGTAAACACCATTCAGTGCATTACAGCTTCAAACGTTGCTAAACAAATTGTTGTAAGCCGAGGACTACCTGTACAAGCTTTTTAATGAAGAGTAATTATTATGTAGTTCCTTGTGTGACAGTAATGTCAGAGCTGCAAATCATAGCAGCAGCAGAGCAGAGGAAGCATTTCCCTTATAACCACAGGAAAAAATCCCACTGAAATAACTTGACTTATTTTTTAAAATAAAAGTGTTAAGCCTGTCATTAGGGAGCTGACATGGTTGATTTTGGGCAAGGGGCAGAGGACAGAGATTGAGATCACAGCTGTCGCATCCTCTCCATATTTATCTGGTTTTCTCATTAATTTTTGCTCATCTGCCTCAATGGTACTTTTCTCGCCCTCTCTTTCCAACCAAAATATCTTGCTCAGATTGAGATTTGTAGATTAAAAAAATGAAGGGTGGGAATTTAGTTAGAGCAATTAGCCAGTGGATAAGAACGCAAGGGATAGGATTTGGAGTGCCATCCATGCCAATATTTATTGGATCCCATAGTCACTGTGGTAACAGTTTTTAAAAAATAATTCAGAACCATAGTTTTAAGGTCCCTCTTTATAACTGCAAATAATTCAGAACCATAGTTTTAAGGTCCCTCTTTATAACTGCAAACTGTATCATCAACATAGCGGGCCCAAAACTTAGGAAGATATTGGGCCATTGCTATGTGCTCTAGTACTACCTCTGCGATAATGCTAGAGATCGGGGACCCCATGGGTGTGCCCTTGGTTTGCTCGTAGATGGTCCCCTGAAAGGTAAAATGAGTTTTTAGGCACATCTCAGTCAGTTTGATAAGGTCTTCTGTGCGGAGAGAGTCTTGCTGTTGTTCCAAGTTCCTATCCTCTAGATGATCCCTAAGGGCTAGAATTGCGAGATCTTGAGGTATAGAGGTGAACAAAGAAACGTCAAAAGACACCATTAATTCGTCCTCCTCTACCCTCAGGGTTTTGATCTTGCTAAGGAATTCTTCCGCTGACCTAACAGTGTACGTGCCATCATTGGCCAGGTGGCCGATACGGTTACTCAGCCATCTGGGCCCGCTATGTTGATGATACATTTGCAGTTATAAAGAGGGACCAAAAGGCTAACTTTGTGGGCATACTGAATTCGGTATACCCGGACATCCAGTTTACCATAGAAGAGGAAAATCAAGGTTCACTGGTGTTTTTGGACGTTTTAGTCCACCGCCAATTGGATGGAACTCTTGATACCAGGGTATACCGAAAACCTACCTGTACTGACAGAGTTCTCCACTACAGGAGCAACCATCCAGTGCCCCATAAGGTTAGCTGTGTTAGGACCCTCTTCAAGAGAGTGAGCTCTCACTGCAGTTCCATTAGAGCTCGCATAGATGAAAGGAACCACCTCTTCCGGGTATTCAAATTTAACAGTTACCCGACAAAATTTGTTAGACGACACAGTAGACCACCTGAGTCCCTAAGGAACCCGGGTACGGAGGACCCCACCCCCAAGACGACACTGGTTACCCTCCCCTATATCTGTAATGTCTCTGAGGCCACTGCCAGGCTTCTGGCTCCCTACAATGTGAAAGTAGCTCATAGGCCCACCCGGACGCTGCGTGCCACCATNGTGCGAAGGGGGGAGAAAAGGAAGAAGGGAGATGGTTGGAGGATGAGAACGAAGGAGTAGTGAGAGTGGTGGGAACACGGGTGAGAGAGGAGTCAGACAGCGCTACGGGGAAGAAGGAGGGGCGAAGTAAGATGGGATTGCAAGTGGCCATGAAAAGAAAAAAGGTTAGTGAACAGCAAGATGAGGTCCCAAACGAAGGAGTGCCGCCCCCTCCCGATGAACAGGTAGAACAAGGGAAGAGAGGAGGTGGGAAAGAGAGAACCAGGAACGCAACAACTCGCAAAAGAGCAATCAAGGATGCGAAACAGGAGGACTATCGGGGCCCGGTCACGAGATCGAGGAGCCGGGTGCAAAATGCATCACTCCCATAAAAACAGCCACCCACTGATGGTTAGCCACCCTGACGAGGCCGGCAGGAGGCCGGCGAAAGCTAGGTGCTTTTAATTGTAAATAAACTTGTTATAGTTTTATCTCCTGGTGGTCTCACGGTTGTGATTCTTCGGACATATATATATATATGGTTGCAAATAACATAAAAGACAGACGAATGACTCCTGGGAATATCCATAATACAAAATAAAAGTGCGAACACCAGGAGAGTATAAGACAATTAAAAGTTTAGTAAAAAACCTTTAAAAACTTTTAAAAGCATACAATCATAGGGGCCAAGCTTTTGTCGGATCCTTCCGACATCCTCAGGGCACAAAGTCAATCAATGGGAAAAGCAGTTATAAATAAACCGACGCCTGCATCCGGGCCCTAGATCTTGTGACAGGGCCGTGGTAACCAATCATTGTAACATCCTCATTAACCCCTTTAGCTATCATTCTATCCTTACTTCTGCTGCCTTTCCATGTCAAACCACCATGGGGGCG